GTCCTTAGGTCTCAGCATCTCAGGTGCAGCATTGCCCTCGCCTTCTCTGTCACACAACAATGTGCTCTGACACAGGTTGTGTGAACAGGTTCATACTTTAAAAAAGAAAAAAGTAAGAAAAGACTCTCTGCCATGTCCGTGCCCTTCTTGAGAGCTGAAATTCACAGTTGTTTCCTGAACGTGGCTTGGAGGAGGCACTGACCCAGGGAGTGCTCACTCCTGTGAAAGGTGTGTTGTCATAAAGAACAAACATGCTGAGATCTTGTGAAGAGTCAGGTCACAAGGCCCATCTGGAGTCCAAGGCCCTGGACCCTCTCCAAAACCTAGCCCATCCTGCCTGGGGATGGCTCCTTCCTATCCTCCCAGGGCATCAGACTCCAGGATCCTTGGAAGAGACTCGTTGGGCAACCCTGCTCACAGAGAGGTCCTCAGAAGACCGAGAGGCCCTTTTACCACAATTCCCCAAAGCCAGTGGGATGTCCCTCAATCCCACAGTGGGGGCCCATGGCACTTCCACCCCACTCACACATACACTTGGAAGATTTATGTCTGCCCTTCCGTGCTGAGGTCAATTGTCATGTTCTGACTGCCACAAGGGCTCAATAATGTCAAGGAGAGTCACTAGTGGGACTCAGAACCTCAGACCCTCCACTCTGTCTTTCTCTGAGTGTCTTCCTTGGATAACTTGGGCCATCAGAGGGGTGGGAGAGATGGCTGCTTCTGCTGTCCATTTCCCACAATTCCACATCAAGGGCAAGGAAGGCAGGAAGATAACACAGATCATATCCCAAATGCCACTGTGTCCTGCCTCCACTCCCTACATGACCCACCTCCAGCCACTCCTCCCTCCCACACCCAGGCCTTCCTAAGGAACAGAGGACAGACTCAGCCTGCAAAAGGCAGTAGCATGAGCCTCAGGGGGCAGCACATGCCAGGTCTGCCTTTCTCAGGGTGGACATCAAGAAACAGGAATGCTGGGGAGCGGCCACAGAGAGAGAAAGGGAAGAGAAGGCCAGGCTGGGACCTGTGTGTGGGGGTTTGGGGCTGGGATCTGTCTGTGCCGGATTTCGGGGGTAGGGTCAGGCTGTGCTAGGTCGGGAGTCTTAGTTGGGGCTCTGAACAGAGGGTAAAGAAGCTTGGGCAAGGAGGTAGTCTAATTTGTGGTGCCTCCAGTGTGTCTACTCCTGCAAGATGTCCCCCAGATCTGGTACAGTACAGCTGTCCAGGTCTAGGCCTAAGCAGTACAAAGGCAGGCCCCTGCTCTCCTATATGTGGGGCACTCTGTCCATCTCATGACATCAGATCTCATGGGGAGGCCTCCTGGGGAGAAGGCCTCCTGGTGCATCCTGGTTCACAGTTTACCTGCAGGTCACGGGGCCACACAATGACCACTGGCCAGATCAGCACAAGAACTGCTGAGGAGCCCAGCCCACTGCATGGTCAGCAGGGGCAGTGACTGTGGCCTAAACTCCTAAGCTCTGGACTAGCTTTCATGAAGCAACATAAACCAAAGCAGGCTTCACTCCTGTTTTTATAAAACTTCAAGAGAATAGAAAATGACTTTATAAAGAGGAACTGCCCTCCAGAACTGGGTGGGGCTTAAGGCATCAAGATCTCAAACACTGACACATTCTGCTTGTCTTGGGCCAGTCTACAAAAGACAGTGATCTCATTTCACACGGCTGTTTCTGTGTTCACACTGATATTGGGCACTGGCGTGCTCCTCACTGCTTCACATATCCACAGGCATCCACAAGCACGTGCCTTACTCCACGGATCTGCACAGATGCAGCCATCTCCAGTGGGGGAGTGGCACCTTACCCCCCATGCCTCAGGAGCTGGGGCTGATGGCTCTCAGAGGCTACCATGGGTTCTGGCCTGGCACCAGGGGGTGACTGGCCTTAGATCTCACCCTGCCAGCTCCACTTCTTGGACAAACATTCTCCACTGACTTTCATGATTAGAAAAATCATCTAACATGGGGGACATAAACCCTTAGTTCAAGTCCTTGAAAGAAAAGCTTATTTCAACCCACAAGGCAACTGCACAACCCAGAAAAACCTGGGAACAAACACACTATCTCCCAGAAGCTTCATCACAGGCAGCCAGGGATGCCCTACTCATTGTTCTTGAAGAAGGCCCCTCCCATGGCTACTGGAGTGTCCCAGCAGGCCCAGCCAATGTCCATGATGTCCACAGGATAGGCCAGCACCTGTGGCCATGAGGGTGACTATCCCCACCTACTGAATTCAGCAGCAAAGGTGGAGTACATGTGGAACTCTGCACTCCTCTGTAAGGGCCAGCTACCAGCTCCTGAGACCCATGCACAGGTTTCAATGAAGCAGGAAGACAAGAGCATCCTTTCTTATTCAGAGAAGGTCACCTTCCAGCTCAAGCCCCAACTTCTGTCCTGAGTGGTTCAAGCACTCAACACAACCATATTGATATAACTACTGCCACCACCCGTGTTCTTAGAACAGGTGGACAAGTGGGGAACCTAGGACAGCCCCTCCAGCTGAAGCCTGCTCCTCCCGCCAGTCTGCCAACTTCCCACTGGAGTGTCACCTGGCTCGCACCTCATCCCCTAACTGTGAGCAGCGGTCTAAAACAGAGCTTGAAAACAGTATGGATACCTCATCAGAAGACAAGAAGACAATTGTGCTTTTAATTCAATTGTAGTGGTTTCTAAAACAAAAAACAAAAACAAAAACAAACCTAAAGCTTGTCACCAAGGTGAGAGTGTGCAGTATGGACTATGTAGTAGTCATTGGTTCCCTTCTTTTGAAAACATACACTTTGTATGTACATATCAGGCATATGGGCAGGCATATCATCTACTAAAATATAAAATATGAAATTTCAAATACTGTCTAGAACTGCAATAACTGCAGTAATTCTGTGTTTGTGAGATCATGGTACAGAGCATACGTATGTGACATCCACTCATTTAGTGCATTCCTTCTGTGGGCCAGAGGTCCTGCAGACAGTGGGTTGAGGAGCCAGCTGACTGACCACCTCTCAGGCAGGAAGGGAAAACACATGAGTCCACTGGCATTGGCCCAAAGTGTGGTTGGGATACTCCCTCAGGTAGCCATAGGAGCTGAGCTTTACAGGTGGAAATCAATCAGTGAGGATGGAAGGTGAGGTTAATGGTGGGATCCTCGAAACCATGAGCCCTACGCTGGACTTCACCTCACCGTGCTGTGCACGGGCTCCAATATGGCAGACCTCACAGGAGCTGGACCCTCCGCAAACAAGGTCAGCAACACGTGTGCAGAAAGTACCTTTCAGCCTCCCCAGCCTGAAGAACTATAAAAAGGCAAAATAGTCAAGACAGTGTCAGGATACTGTGGTGTGCAGCAGCAAGGCACCATGGCTCCACTCAGTTTGATCACAAACACCTCACTGAGAGCAGACAGAGAGCAAAGAGCCACATCTAACACTCTTCCCCCAACACAGTGACACTCCTGAGACTCTGAAGGTTAAACTACTTCAGAATTAGCCTCCTCCAGAGAAGGGCGTGGGCAATGCAAATTCTCCTTATCATTTCACTTAGCTGGGTTTTCTCTATAATTTAAAACATATTTTCCAATTATGTGCATGATTACATAGGCAAGCCAAGTTAAACGTGAAAGACGTCTAAGCTTGTGTTGATTGAAGTACTTAAGTTTCCTGCAAACTGTACAAAATCAAGATCCCATTATGAAGGCTGAATGCCTCAGTGGTTTTCAGTGATTGGAGTAAGTACCGGACTGGCCGCCTTCAAGAAAATTCCAGTTGGTAAATATGAAAAAGGAAAAAAGCTACCAAACACAAGCCTTGTGTAGATTGCTGCTTTGTTGGCCTAACCTGGGCAGAGGCACAGCATCCTGAGATGCCACTCCTGGGCAGAGGACAAGGGGTGCCTGTGCCAGAATCCAGCTCAGCATAGGAACCCAGTTCCAAAAACAAAACTACAAAGTCTTTGAGGCAGCAGGGTTGACACAGTGCCATATGAGCAAGGACACACCCCTCTGGGCCACGGCACACTCATCCTCCTACATCTGAGACACACTTGTACAGTTTACCCTTCTGTCTTTGCAATTAAGCACCACTGAGCACAGGCTCTTTATGTCTTGTCCAGCCCCTCTGGTCAACACAGCCCTACCTAGCATACACCTACACCTGGAGCCAGCAAGGTCCCCACCATGCTGGGACAGCTGAGTTCCTCGGGTCAGTGTCCAGTTGAGGTGTCCAGAGACATGACAGCCCCAGGAAAACACCCCAAGCCCTTCCAATCTTACCCCTGGGAACAGAAGCCAACTGAGGTATTTCTAGGCTGAGCTAGAGTGAGAACAAGGTCAGTTTAAACCATGGGGGGGCCATGCTCCAGAACCTCCTAGGGGCTCTGCAGGGTGACAGGGCCCTCCTGGGGCTTGTGGACACAGAGATCTCTCTTAAACACACACACACACACACACACCCCTTGTAGTGGCTCTGAGGGTCAATGATGACTCCAAGAACAACAGTACTGGGCCTGTGGCATCAGCCACCAAGCGCCATATCAGCAGGCCCATGTGCATGCCACGCCTTCCTGCTACCAACTGGCTGCTTGTCTGGGTCCCCTCTCTGAGGATGTGGGAGGAGCTCTCCCTGAGGCAGGGAGGGAAGAAGCCCTTACCAAAGGCAGCTGAAGGGAAAGGGCTTGGAGGGAGAGCTGGCTGGGAGCCTGACAAGAGGTACCAGGCCCAGTTTCCCACTCCAAGCAGACCAGGGACCCACAGTACAACAAATAATCTTACAAACACCACAGGCTGTCCTTAATTCTGACAGTCAGATTCAATAGGATGGACCTGGAGGACCTGCAATAGTAAGAACTCACTAGAGGACTCTGACGCATGTGTGCAGAGGTAGCCACATGGGCCTCATGCCTTCCCATCCCATGACCAGACTGCCCCTTACCAACCAGAAGCCAGTTCCCACCAGCAGAAAACTCAGATGGCAGATTTTAAAGAATGTACCTGGAGCCTTCTCCACAAAAATGACCTTGGAGTCCTGAAGAAAGTTATGGCCAGAGAGGATCATCTTCTTCCCACCGATGACTGGGTAGCTGTCTGTGCTCTGCTTTTCCACAAGAGGAAGCTCCTGGGCCGACCGCTGGGCTGCATTGGACAAGGAGAGGTCAGTGAGCCAAGACCCTGTACTCCCTGCCTAGAAGGAGCCTAGCTGGGAACACTAAGGCTCCCAGGGCACTGCCTTCCGACACAACTGCCCAGAATCAAAGGGCTGACCAACTCCCAAAACCTGTGATGAACTGTGGGTTGTATCATATATCTGCTTTAAATGAAGACTGTTAGGGATTGGAACAAGCTCCCCAACATGGCACATTTTATGGTAAAACATGACTGTCCTAGAAATCCCCTGCTCCTGGGTAGGAAGGATTAATAGAGTGAAAATGGCCATACTTCCAAAACTGCTATATAGATTTAATGCAATTCCAATTGACAGCCCAGCAGCATACTTCATGGACCTCGAGAAAACAATCCAAAAATTCATTTGGA